ACTGTGCTTGATTGGCCAGCCAACATGCCTGACCTGAAGCCCATAATATGGAATCTATGGGATATTTTCAAGAGAAAGATGAGAAACAGTGGATCCGAGCTGATGCTCAATAGTCCTCAGCAGAGCCACAGGCGGATCGCTTCATGCCACACCTCACTGATGCTGGAGTTTGTGCTAAAGGAGCCCCGGCCAAGTACTGAGTGCAGAAATGAACATACAGTACTTTAAAGAACTTGAGCTTTTCTGTTTTGCAAACCCTTTTTTTGATTGATCTTAGGTAATATTCTAATATTTTGAGATACTGGATTTTTGACTTTCATGGGCTGTAAGCTCTAATCATCAAAATTAAAACAAAAAAAATGAAAAAATTAAAACAAAAAAACTTTTGAAATGTTTTACTTTACATGTAATGAATTTAGAATAAATGAAAGTTTCACTTTTTGAAATAAGTTACAAAAAAATAACTTTTTCACGATATTCTAATTTTTTGAGATGCACCTGTATATATATATATACAGGTGTATCTCATATATACTTGTAATTATATGTGAGTGTTATTATTGCTCTTCCTATTGCAAATCATTACATTTCCATGTACTCACATTAGCCGTATTGTTAGCATTCGTTTAAAGACACAGTAGACTTCTGCCAGAGGGAACAGACAGATTCTACAGACATTGTATTTTTGCGTGCAGAAAAGAAAAACAGCAGCCGAAGGGAGCGTGTAAATTTCCCTGTGGGCATCTTCAGCTAACAAACACTCGCAGGCCGCCAGACACCAACACACCAGCTGCTAATTAACCTGACAAACACACAGTAACCAGCAATTTACTAGCCAATAACAAGGCACAACAACTAATTCATCAGCAAACCTAAAGCTGCAGGGCATTCACAAACATGAGATCAGCATTTGATGTGTGCTCGGAAACTGAAGGAGGTTTCAGACGCCTTCTTTTGGACCAATATTAAGGCAGACTCGTGTCTATGTAGAGAAGGCAATGCTTAGTGAAAAAACAAACATTCATGATGGTGGACAAAGTGATAGAAATCTTTAATCAAACTTAAACTAAAAAAAAAACCAAATAAATTAATTACAAAAACATTTTTTTTTAAATGCCTTGGCAACTAACTGAAATAAAATAAGTTTAAGTACTAAAATTTTAAACTATTGTAAATCATTTCCTTAATTAAAAATAAAACAGAAATAAAATAAATATAAATATTCAAAGAAAAACAAACTTAATAAAATTTTGCCTTGACAACTAACTGAAATAATAATAATGAAAAAGTTTAATTTAAAGGACTAAAATGACTAAAAACTATAAAAAAAAATTTCCTTAGTTGAAATAAAGTAGAATTAAAATAAAGTGATAGAAATCTTTAATCAAACTTAAACTAAAAAAAAAACCAAATAAATTAATTACAAAAACATTTTTTTTTAAATGCCTTGGCAACTAACTGAAATAAAATAAGTTTAAGTACTAAAATTTTAAACTATTGTAAATCATTTCCTTAATTAAAAATAAAACAGAAATAAAATAAATATAAATATTCAAAGAAAAACAAACTTAATAAAATTTTGCCTTGACAACTAACTTAAATAATAATAATGAAAAAGTTTAATTTAAAGGACTAAAATGACTAAAAACTATAAAAAAAAATTTCCTTACTTGAAATAAAGTAGAATTAAAATAAAATATAAATATTAGTTAAAACAAAAATTAAACAAAACTCAGAAATGTTGCCTTAGCAACTAATTGAAATAAAAAAAAGTTGAAGGACTAAAATTAAATGTACTAAAACTAAAACTATTAGAAATTGTTTCCTTAATTAAAATAAAATAAAATAAAAACGGATGAAAAACTTAAACTTAAAACATACAAACAAACAAAAATAAAATGTACAAATAAACGTTTCCTTGGAAACTAACTGAATTTTTTTTTTTTTAAGTTACTGAAACTAAAACTATTAGAAATCATTTCCTTAATTGAAATTAAGTTAGAATAGTAGAACTAAAGTAGAAATAAAGTAAAATATAAATATTAGATGACAAAAAAAAAAAGCTAAACAGCAATATTTGAAGAAAAAAAAACTAAGCACATAACAAAATTACTAAAACTTAAACTAAAATTAAAAGTGAAAATATAAAAAGAAAAGCTAATTCAAAATGTTAATAAATACTGAACTTGTATATAATTAATACTAAAAATAACAAATTTTTGTTAGTTTAGTCACTACATTTAGGATACTGCCCGAGAAGACTGCTGTCTATGTAGGCAGCGCACTGCAAGGCCACTAACTAGATTCTGAAACAGCGCTTTGGAAAATCATAAAGTTCAGGCTATCAATTATCTGTCCAGACTCAAGGACAGTGTGACCTCTGACCTCTAGTCCACAGAGAAGCGCTCAGCAGTGCTACTGTAACCCTCACAGCAGAGGTCACGCTGGGATCTGACCCCAAAAACCTGTTCAATACCTGCAGAAGAGCTAAGAACAGCAGCGCAAACGCATCGTCTGTCAGCTCATAAATCAGCTCTAATTGGCCGTCCTACAGCAGTGCAGTCAGTGCTGTTGAGTTACAGTTTAATCAGACCAAACACAAACTCAAGAGAACAAACACACTTAATCATCACCAGATCTGAGAACATATTTAACATCAAAAGTCATTCTGTGTTTTATCTCATCATGAGCTTTGATCCCAGCTAACAGAGAAAGTTCTCACAACATTCACAAGCGGTTTTTAAATGTTATTTAAATGTTCGGACAAAACGTTCTTAAAGCTATGTTTATGGATCGTTCTTATCACAGTAAATTTCATATATGTTCTTCAAAAAACAACATTCTTTGAATATCCACATGACATTATTATTACTTTTTTAGAATGACTATATGCTTCTTATAACGTTGAGAAAACATTCTGAATTTTTAAGGTAAGTGGTTGCAAACAATTTATTTTAGCTACATTTAAAAAAAGTTGAAAGTCAGTCAACTAAATTTATTTAAATGTAGCTAAAATAAATTGATTACAACCACTTACCTTAAATGTTTTTTGTAAATTCAATGAATCATTTTTCTCAGTGTGATATAGTTACTGATACTGATTAGTTTTGTTTTACATTCAAATGTTTGGGGTAAGAGAAATTAATATGTTCTTCAAAAAACAACATTCTTTGAATATCCACATGACATTATTATTACTTTTTTAGAATGACTATATGCTTCTTATAACGTTGAGAAAACATTCTGAAATCAACATTCTTAAAATGTCCTTATGTTATTTGTACTTGATGAACATTCTCAATGTTGAAAGAAAACGTTTTTAGAATATTACATTTAAAAATGAACGTTCAAATAATGTTATATTTTGGGTGAAAATAAAACTTGTAAAACATTTAAGAAGCTTTTTTTATATAAACCTTTAAATAATGTTCTAATCACAACAAGAAAACTGGACATTTTAATGTTCTTAGATTATTAAAAATAAACATTCAAAAATTTGGATGAAAAAATCTGTGATTTGGCAGACAACCAAAATTACATTGAAAAAAATGATACATTTTTTTAAGGTAAGTGGTTGCAAACAATTTATTTTAGCTACATTTAAAAAAAGTTGAAAGTCAGTCAACTAAATTTATTTAAATGTAGCTAAAATAAATTGATTACAACCACTTACCTTAAATGTTTTTTGTAAATTCAATTAATAGTTTTTCTCAGTGTGATATAGTTACTGATACTGATTAGTTTTGTTGTACATTCAAATGTTTGGGGTAAGAGAAATTAATACTTTTATTCATCAAGGATGCATTACTGTTTTCAACATTGATAATAATCAGAAATGTTTCTTGAGCAGCAAATCAGCATATTAGAATGATTTCTGAAGATCATGTGACACTGAAGACTGGAGTAATGATGCTGAACATTCAGATTTGATCACAGAAATAAATTACAGTTTAACAGAGATTCACATAGAAAACAGTTATTTTACATTGTAATAATATTTCACAATTTTACTGTATTTTTGATCAAATAAATGCAGCCTTGGTGAGCAGAAGAGACTTCTTTTTTAAAAACATTTAGTGTATGTTTCGAGTCATTCTGATACCTGCTTCTAGTCGCTAATGATGACACTCATTCCTGGTATGAACCTGGCAGGTTTGAGGAGTCAGAGCTGATTTTTCAGAACTAAAATTGATGGAAATTGGCAAAAATAAAAAGGGTAAAATTGAGAACCAGCAGCTTGTCTGTGGAAAACACACACACACACACACACACACACACACACACACACACACACACACACCTGCCAGGAAAGCTTAGCAGATCTGTTTAATGACAGAAAGTTTGACAGATATTAAATGACATTACGTCAGAGCAAATACTCAGAACTACACACTGACTTCAGTCTCAGATTCACATCAACACCTGAAAAACATCAGAGCGAAAGTCCTTAATTCAAGTGTGTTTCTCGACCATTGAGGAAATATCGATGTTCTGCAGCCCAGTGTAAGTGAATGATCTGAGCCTGTGAGACACACAGTAACTACAGCACACACTCATTCATTAAACACTATGACAAATCTGAGAGTGTCAAACACAATGAGCAATCAGCTCACATCCATCACTGTCCCTCAGCTCTTTGTGCTCCTCTCTTCACCACACTCCCTCTCGCTCTCTCTGATGGAGTTCATCAATCATGTGTTCAGAGGAGAGACGGAGCCGCTGGCTCAGCATTTACACACACACACACACACACACAAACAGACACGCACACACACACACACACTGACAGAGATACACACACATGCACGCACACACACACACACACACACTCACACACACACACACGCACGCACGCACGCACACACTGACACGCACACACACGCACACACACACGCACGCACGCACGCACACACTGACACGCACACACACGCACACACACACGCACGCACGCACGCACACACTGACACGCACACACACGCACACACACACGCACGCACGCACGCACTCACCCACACACAGACACACACACACACACACACACACACACACACACAGTTACGCGCACACACTCAGGTGATCTTATTTCACAGTGTGTGTTTCTGTGTTTTGAAATCATAATCCTAATGTAACTTGACTGCTGCACTATAAAAAAAATACAGAGAAATTTACAGGGGGAAAAAACAGCAACTGTGCTTGCCAGAAAACTTGTAAAACAAAATATGGTAAAAATATTTGAAATGTTACAGATTGATCTAAAATTTACAGTAAAAACATTTTATTAACGGATACAATGTTAATATACCAAAGTACTATATCCTGTTTTGTAACAACTGAGAAAATACTAAAAGAAACAAGAAGAAACTAAAAACTAAGAAACATGTCTGTTTATATTTTTCCATCATAAATTATAAGATGATTTCCAAAAACTGTACATTGAACAGCATTTTACTGTAAAATTATATGAATTTTCACATTAGATCGATTACAGTTTTTCATTCTATATAGTAAGGGAACCTAATGCTAATCAATTAACAGTTTTTTCCTAAAATAATCATAATATCAAATAAATAAATAGTTAAACTAAATGAAAATTACAATTATAAATGACCATAACTAAATTAATTAATATATTAAAATTACTACTACAAATTAATGTAAAATAACTTAATATAAATTACTAAATAATAAAATAACAAAGTACTATAATTAAAATTACAATCGTAAGTATTGTAAATAAATGTTATTAATATTATTATAAATTAATATACATAAA